ACACCATTCTTCTCCATTATCGACCAAGAGGATACATTTGCGATTTTGGGTGGTGTAGTTAATGAAGCGTTGGTTGCGGAGTGCAACAATAGAAAGAACATATATAGGGTAGCCGACGACCTCTTCTTCTTTGTTTTGTAGCACATGGGGGAGCAAATCAATCTGGTCCTTGTATGCTCCACCATTGAAAGAAAGGGCAATGAGAGTGATCATGCCCCCCATGTGTATCTCATCACCAAGCTGCCCATCACGAGTGTCCAACAATCTCGAGATAAAGGTGGTGGAGCATTGGAACTTCAAGCACTGAGGATTGTCGGCCAAGTAAAGGCAAGCTACCTCATCTTTCACTATAGAGCCGAGGTTTGCCTTGAAGAATACAACATATTGAAGGAGCCGGACAAAGTATCTCAAAGAAATATGAATGATGTTGTTGACCTTTGCGGTGTTAGTGCAAAAAACGGGCTTGGTGGAGATGCTCCGCCACCATTCTTGTTCATTATACGGAATGCGACACATTGAGGTCATATCGGAGGGTCGATATAAACCGGTTTCTTACCAATGTAAGATATCGTTGAACTCACTCTCGCTTAGGGAATGGTCTTTGTTAAGCATGCGAAAGTGAAGAATAATTTGAGATTCATTCCCTTCATCATCTTCTTCAATGACTTCCTTGCGTAGGGAAGCAAGGAACTCCAATGTGACGCGCTCATAGGTGTGAGCGTGGAGGTCGATGAACTCGTCCTAACCAAAGTTTTGTGCGAGTCGGACTACTTCATCCATGATGCCAAGCTTTCTTAAGGTGTTACCGCAGAAGAACTTTGTTGATCGTATAGGACGGTCTATGAGGCTCTTATAGACATCCCAAAAGTGCTTGTTCGGAGCGATGATGCCATGATCATTGATGCCGGGTGGAGGTGGAAAATTGGGTGATGAAGATTCACCCATCCTCTTCTTCTTGGACTTGCCTTTGCCAAAAAGATGCACTGTGAATCTACTAAATCACCAAGAACTAACATTAGGAAGATTTAATCTAAGAGGAGACACAAGAAGCTTGCCAAGATAAAAAGTGTATGCAATGAGAGTAAAAGCCATGAGTTGTGAAATAGATGTAGATGGTAACAAAAATAAAATTCAAGGCATTAATGGACACCTATAAACCAAGGCATGAGCTAAAAGTCCTATGACAATCAAATGCAAATCCTAAGAAAACCTAGGTAAAAACTAACATATTTAAGCAAATAATGTGAAATCACGAAAAATCAAGGCATACATGCATATTCATCATGAAACAAGTTCTACTATCAACAACCAACCAATTACAACAAGGAAATCCTAAGAACCACATAGATTAAACAAGCCATGACTAACAATTTCAATTATTCCACAATTCATACTTGAACATGTAAAACATGGTAAAACTAAGAGAAATTGAAGAAATGAACTTGCAAAAGCTAGAATAACCATACCACAATTGATTGGAAGCAAGTAGAAATCCAAAAGTTTCAGGTCACTCAAACCCTAGAAATTGGGGAAAAATTGAAGAGATTGTAGGAATTGAGTAGTGGATGAAAAAGAAGTGAAAAAGAGAAGAGATTGGAGTGATTTTAATGGAGATTTGAGGTTAGAGGAGAAGTTTTAATGGAGTTTTAGAGTGAGAAGGATAAGAGAAGAGAAGAGAGAGAGAGAGCCGAAAGTATGAAGGAGGAGTGAGAAAGCTGCGACCCTTCCTTTTTTTTAAAATTTTTTTATTCAGGGAGCTTGCTCGAAAGAGGTTTCGGCCGAACCATGAAGAAGTTCGGTAGGACAATCAGAGGTGTGACCAAACTTTTGAAAAGTTCGGTCGAATTTTCGGATTTCCAGAATTTGGCAGATTGCAGCCCAATTTGACTCAAAAGTTTGGTCGAACATCCGGATTTTCTAGAATTTGTTAGATTGCAACCCAACTTCAGTTCTAGGGCAGGAGCGACCAAAATCCTTGTGGGTTCGGTCAAACCTTTGAAAAGTTCGACTGAACCTATTTGAATTTAGGTTGAACTCCCCCAAAATCCTCAATTCTGAAAAATTTGCACAAAACTTCTCCTCAAGACACACTAAAATACCACACAATCTTGCTAAAAGTACATGGAAAATGCATTCCCTTTGAAGGCAAGACAAACAAGAATACCAACACAAACCAAATACACACAAAACCATCAATCCAAAGTTGTAGAAAGAAGAATGAAAAACATCAAGAAAATATAATAGAGGAGGGTTAGAAACTCGGGTTACCTCCTGGAAGCGCTTCTTTAACGTCAATAGCTTGACGACCTCCTCACTTAGGAGGTAAGATTATATTGTACCAACTCAATCAAACCAACATGAGCACCCTCGTAGTAGAGCTTGAGGCAATGCCCATTAACCTTGAATGACCTCGTTCTATCCAAATCATTGAGTTCAACGGCTCCATGGGGAAAGACCTCTTTTATGGTGAAAGGTCCACTCCATTTAGACATGAGTTTACCGGGAAATAATTTCATCCATGAATTTTAAAGCAACACCTTATCACCAATATTGAAGGTCTTCTTTTCATTTTGCCGGTCATGCCACTCCTTTGACCGAGTTTTGTACAAGCTTGCACAACCGTAAGCATCCATCCTTAGTTCCTCTAAATCATGCAAATCTAGCCACCTTTGTTCACCCGCACTCGCCAAATCAAAGTTGATCATTTTGATAGCCCATTGAGCACGGTGTTCAAGTTCAACTGGAAGGTGACAAGACTTACCAAATACAAGCCGGTAGGGGTAGTGCCGATGGGGGTTTTGAAAGCGGTTCTATAGGCCCAAAGGGAATCATCTAATTTATCCCACCAATCTTTCCTATTTCTAGCACTGTTTTCTCAAGAATCACCTTGATTTGGCGATTGGAAACCTTTTCTTACCCACTTGTTTGTGGGTGATAAGTCATACCGAAGCATTGATGGACCCCATTCCTTCTCAACTTCTTTTGAAACACATTATGGACAAAATAAGAACCATTGTCACTTACAACCGCTCTTGGGATCCCAAATCTAGGAAATATGACCTTTTTGAACAATTTCATCACAACTTTGTGGTCATTTGTTGTGGAGAAAATTGCTTCAAACCACTTTGAAACATAATCGACCGCCACAAGTATATATTGGTTCCCATTAGATGAGGGAAAAGGTCCCATGAAATCAATGCCCCACACATCAAACACCTCAAGCTCAAGAATCGGTTGTTGAGGCATATCATTCCTCTTTGAAATATTACCGCTTCTTTGGCAAGAAGCACATGTTTTCACAAAACCCCATGAATCCTTGAAGATATGAGGCCACCATAACCCACTTTGTAGCACTTTCAAGGCTGTTTTGTTGGCACCCATGTGACCTCCATAAGAATCGGAGTGGCACATCCTCAAAACACTCTTTACTTCATCATTGGGCACACATCTTCGTAGTAGGTTGTCAACTCCTCTTTTGAAAAGGATCGGATCATCCCATATATAGTGCCTTGCTTCCCTCTTCACTTCTTCCTTTGGTTCCTTGAAGCATCGGGAGGAAACTCCCCACAAGCCAAATAGTTCACCAAATCCGCAAACCATGGAAGATCTTGGGTCCCCATTATCTTTTAGCTCATCACAAATTGGGTCCCCATCATCTTTATCTTGCAAGTTCTCCAATCGGGAGAGGTGATCCGCTACAACATTTTCCGCCCCCTTCTTATCCCGAATTTCGAGATCAAATTGTTGTAAAGTCAACACCCAACAGAGGAGGCGTGGTTTGGATTCCTTCTTGGCTACAAGATACTTAATAGCCGCATGGTCGGTGTAAACAATAGTTTTGGAACCAATGAGGTAGCTCCAAAACTTCTCAAAAGCATAGACTACGGCCAGAAATTCCTTCTCCGTTGTTGTATAGTTGCGTTGTGCTTCATACAAAGTTTTTGACATATAATAGATCACATGAAGTCTCTTGTCAATCCTTTGCCCAAGCACGCCCCCTATGGCCACATCACTTGCATCACACATAAGTTCAAAGGGCAAATCCTATCTTAGACCTTGCACAATAGGAGTAGAAATCAAAGCTTGCTTTAACTTGTTGAAAGCATTGAGGCACTCTTCATTAAACACAAAATCAACCTCCTTTTGAAGAAGAACATTAAGGGGCCTATCAATTAGTGAGAAGTCTTTGATAAACCTTCTATAAAACCCCGCATTCCCAAGAAATGATCTTACTCCCTTCACATTGATAAGGGGTGGTAGCTTCTCGATTACTTTAACCTTGGCTTTGTTAACCTCAATTCCTTTGTTGGAGATCTTATGCCCAAGGACAATTCCTTCCTTTCCCATAAAGTGGCACTTCTCCCAATTCAAGACCAAATTGACTTTTTCGCATCTTGCCAAGCACTTGCCCAAATTTGTCAAGCAATCCTCAAATGTAAGGCCACCAACCGAAAAGTCATCCATGAATACCTCCATTTCCTCTTCAAGTATGTCACCAAATATACTCACCATGCATCTTTGAAACGTCCCGGGTGCATTGCATAGACCAAATGACATTCTCCTGTAAGAAAAAGTTCCATATGGACAAGTAAAGGTTATTTTCTCTTGGTCATCCGGGTTTATGGGAATTTGGAAGAAACCCGAATAATCGTCGAGAAAGAAATAATACTTGTGTCTAGTTAGTCTTTCAAGCATTTGATCTATAAAGGGGAGGGGTAAATGATCCTTTTTGGTAGATGCATTTAAACGTCTATAGTCTATACATATCCGCCAACCGGTCACCGTCCTAGTTGAGATGAGATCACCTTCATCATTCTCAACTATAATCATACCCCCTTTCTCAAGAAAAACATGCAAGGGGGAAACCCACCTTGAGCTCAAAATGGGGAAGATGATGCCGACATCTAGGAGCTTGGTTATTTCCTTTTTCACCACCTCCCCCATTTGAGGGTTCAGTTTTCTTTGCCTCTCTATGGATGGCTTTGCACCCTCCTCCAATGTTATGTGATGCATGCAATAGCGGGACTAATACCCTTGAGATTATCAATGGTATAGCCCAAGGCATTTTGGTGGTTTCTTAATACACCACATAACATTCGAGTTTGGTGTTCATTCAAAGATGCACTCACAATAACGGGAAATGTGGAATTGGGTCCAAGAAATTCATACCTAAGGTGTGATGGTAGAGGTTTTAGCTCGACCATAGGCACACCCTTACCTTCCTTTGTAGTGGCAATCTCCAAAGCATGTTTGGGTGTGATTCCCATGCAAGCTTGCTCAACGTTTCCTTCAACATTCTCAGCAAGCAACCCTTCATACAACGCCATTTCCTTGCTTTGATCCCCTATCTTTTCCTTGTTTAACAAGACATTCTCAAGGGAATTGTTAGTAGAGAGCAAGTGCTCTTGCATAGAATTCACAATACAATCAATGGTGTCAATTTTCATGCATTTCTTTAAAGTAGAATTAGGATATTTCATGCTTGCATTCAAATCAAACTCAAGAACTTCTTCACCTACTTTGAGTGTAATTTTAGCACTTTTCACATCAATCAGAGCACCGGAAGTAGCTAGAAAAGGTCTCCCTAGAATGATAGGAATATGCACATCCTCATCCATGTCAAGCAAAACAAAATCAACCGGTATAACAAACTTTCCAACCCTTAAAGGAACATCCTCTACTTTACCCTTAGGAAATTTGATTGATCTATCTGCTAATTGGAGGGTAATGTTGGTAGGCAAAAGCTCCCCTTTATCAAGTCTTTGGTAAACCGTATATGACATAAGGCTAACACTAGCCCCTAAGTCACATAAAGCATTATCAATTTGTATTCGATTTATGGCACAAGGAATGAAAAAGTTACCCGAATCTCCTAACTTTGGAGGCATCTTGTTCATTTTGATTGCACTACAAATTTCGGTGAGGTTCACCGTTTCAACATCACAATTTCTTCTTCCACTCACAATATCATTTAAAAACCTAGCATAATTGGGCATTTGTTTTATGGCATCGGTAAAGGGTATTGAGAGGTGGACTTGTTTCAAGGTTTCTAAGAACTTACCAAATTGCACATCTAGCTTGTGTCTCACAAACTTATGAGGATATGGAAGTTTTTGCAATTGTGTTGGTTCCTTCTCTTTCACTTTTTGAACTCTCTTTTATTTTTCAATCTCTCTTTCATTTTCAACTCCAACTTCTTTCTCAACTTCATCACCTTTTTCGTTTTCACAACTTCTCTCATCTTCTTGCTCAAACTCACTCTCAAGGCAGGGCTCATTCATGGTCACTCTCTCATTGGTTTTCTTTGGCTCACTCTCCTTCAACAACTTCCTACTCCTAGTAGAAATGGCATTCACCGTTCTCTTGGGGTCAAGCCCTTGGGGTGGAAGTTTAGAAGTGCTAGTTCCCATTTAATGGCATTGGCTAATTGGGAGATTTGGGTTTCTAGCATTTTGTTGTGAGTCATAACCTCTTTGAACTTCTTGTCACTAGTGGCCATGAAGGTATTAAACATTTTGGCTTGGCTTTCCATCATCTCTTCTAGGCTAGACTTTTGTGGAGGTTCTTGAGTATAAAAATTGTCTTGTTGCGCTCTAGGACCTCTCACATTAGAATTTGGAGCATTTTGATTGGAAAAGCCTCTATTACCATTATTATTCCAATTGTTCCTATTACTAGAATTCCCTCGGTGACATTGGCCTTGATTCCCATAATTCCCTTGATTATTATGGTTATGGTTACCATAACAACCTTGTTGGTTGTAGTTATCTTGGGGATTGTTCCTACCACCCCATTGGTTTTGGTTGTGGTAATCATCATCATTTCCTCTTTGATTGACAAAATTTCCCCCTTGCCCTCCTTGATTAGGTGGTAAAATATCTTTGATTGTCATTCCTAGGTCTATTATCGTAAGACAAATCATTGACATGTTCATTTTCAAGTTCATTACCATCCTCATATTGGGGTTGGGGTTGAGAATCATAAGTGCAAAAAGAGGTGTCATGATCATATGATCCACAATTTTCACAAAATAAACACCCATTTGGCATGTTATTAGATGTAGAAGTAGAAGGTTCAGAACTCATACCTCTCCCCTTAGATTGGGAGGGACGCTCTTGGTGTGAAGAGGAAGACTCAAGCTTCGCCTTGATTGATGTCATCTCCTTGCCAAGGTTGGCGATTTGAGACGTCAAATTATTGATGGCGTTGAGGTGATCAACAGAGTAAACCACACTCCCTCCTTTGCTCAAAGACTCCCTCTCTCCTTCTTACTAATCCATGTGGTGTCTTACCACATCTTTAATGATTTCAATCACTTGCTCTTTGTTTTATTCATGATTAGCCTACCGGCTTCCGCATCCAAGCTTGTTTTGCCTTGAGGACTCAAGCCTCCATAGAATATTTGTAAAACTTGGTATGTTTGGATTCCATGGCGAGGGCACTCTCTTTGGTACTACTTGTACCTCTCCCAAGCTTCATAGATAGTCTCACTAGCCCTTTTCCGAAAACCTTGGATCAACGCCCTTGCTTCCGCGGTTTTCTTTTGAGAGTAAAATCTCCCTAAGAAAGCCTTGGTGACCTCATCCCAAGTTCTCAAGGAATTGGGTCTCACCTCCTTTTCAAGCCATTCAAGAGCCTTTCCTATTAAGGAGAAAGGAAATAGCTTTAGTCTCACAAACTCTTTAGTGACCCCATTCACCTTGATCGTGTTGTAATATTTCTCAAACTCATTCAAATGTGCAAGAGGGCTGTCGTGTTTTTCTCTACTGAATTGTCTCCTCTCAATAAAATTTATCAATTCTGGCCGAATCTCGAAATCGTTGGCCGGGGTGCGTAGGGTTTCGTAGTGACCCACACTACGCGGAATGAAACCTGCCATGACCCGCCCCCATAATAAATGTAATTAACAAGCAAAACATAACTAAAAGCATAATAAAGGATAAAAGATTATACCTTTGACGCGTGCTTCGCTCAACTATGAGCTCTTACTTGAACCTCGAAAACACGAGGCCTCTGACGGGATCGTACCCTCGAACCCGACTCTAGCGTCCTAAGCCTCGAAGATTAGTAGAGGCCCGGACAAATATAAACTTGGAGTTTTACGAATTTCAAGGTATACTCAATAATGGAATTGCCTTTACTTTTCCACTCAAGTGTTCTTCCCAAAATCCCAACCAAGTGGGTATTTATAGAGAATGAGAACTTGAATCCCATTTCATGATCAATGTGGGATCATGTGCAAAATCATTAATTTATTTAATTCTAAATTATATAATTAATTAACTGCAATCACAATGCAACAAGTGTCAAGAGGAGAGAGAGGGTTAGGTGAGGACCATGAATAGGTGGGGGGACCATTTCCTTGCTCCCCAAGGCTTTGCCTAAGCCTTGGTCCCCACCCCTCACAAAACCGACATCAAGGGGCTGCTGGGCTGCTGCCAGCTAGCACTGCCAGCTAGCCCAGCCAACCAGCACAAGGCAGCAAGCATCAGCCCAGCCAGCCATGTGCGCTGCATGCTGTTGTGCTGGGTGATGCCCATGTTGCGGTTTGCTAGGCGTTGGGCGCTGCTGGCTGCCTAGCTCTCCCCTTCGCATGCACACACATACGCCTACCCAGCATGCGTGCTGCTAGCGAGCCACGCATGTTGTGACATACAGGACTAGGAATGCAATATCACTCCCACTTACCTTCTTGTATAGACAAGATTCATCTGGATTCTTGATAAAACCAAACTTGCTAATGGCTTCATCAAATCGCAGATTCCAACTTCTGCGGGCTTGCTTCAGTCAATAAATGGACTTCTTCAGCTTGCAAACCTTTCTAGCGTTGCCTGGATCGACAAAACCTTCTAGCTGTGTCATATACACAGTTTCTTCCAAAATTCCATTTAGGAAGGCGGTTTTGACATCCATATTTCATAATCGTAATATGCAGCAATCGCTAGGATGATCCGGACGGATTTTAGCATTGTAACTGGTGAAAAAGTTTCATCATAGTCAATCCCATGGATTTGTTTATAACCTTTTGCCACCAGTCTAGCTTTGTATATCGATACATTTCCATCCTTGTTTGTCTTCATTTTGAAGATCCATTTGCAACCAATGAGTGTATAATCCTCGGGCAAATTCACCAAGTCCTAGACTTGATTTTCAGACATGGAGTCCATCTCGGATCTCATGGCCTCTTGCCATTTTGCAGAGTCGGGGCTCGTCATAGCTTGCTTGTATGTCGCCAGCTCATCACCATCCATGACTAGGATGTCCTGATCATCGGTTAAGACGATACCGAGTAATCTGTCTGGTTGAGATCTTTGCCATTGCGACCTACGAAGGGTAATCGGTTGAGCATTTTCATTGTCAGTTTTATTCTGACCAATCTTCTTAGATGCTTCCAAAGCATCTAGATTGTCAGTTTTATCAGGTTGACATTGTTGCTCGTCCTCTCGAACTTCGTCGAGTTTGATTTTCCTCCCACTTGTCATTTTGGAAAGGTGTTCCTTCTCCAAAAAGACACCATCATGAGCAACACATACTTTCTTCTCGGATTTATTGTAGAAGTAATACCCTTTGGTTTCTTTTAGATATCCCACAAAGAAACACTTATCCGATTTGGGGTGAATTTTGTCCGAAATTAATTGCTTGACATATGCTTCGCATCCCCAAATCTGGAGAAAAGACAACCTAGGAGGTTTCTTGGTCCATAATTCATATGGAGTCTTTTCAACAGCTTTTGACGGAGCTCTGTTTAGTGTTAGTGCTGCAGTTTGTAGCGCATGTCCCCAGAAAGAGATAGGGAGTTCACTAAGACCCATCATTGATCGAACCATGTCTATCAAAGATCGATTCCTCCATTCGGACACTCCGTTCCATTGAGGAGTTTCAGGAGGTGTCAACTTAGAAAGAATACCATTTTCTTTGAAGTGATCGTCGAATTCATGGCTCAAATATTCGCCACCTCGATCCGATCGAAGTGCTTTAATTTTCTTGCCAAGTTCATTCTCAACTTCTTTTTGAAATTCTTTGAATTTCTCAAAGGATTCAGATTTATTTGACATTAAGTAGATATAGCCATATCTACTAAAATCGTCGGTGAAGGTGATGAAATATCGGTAACCTTGTCTTGCTGGTGTACTCATTGGTCCACATACATCCGTGTGTATTAGACCTAACAAGTCACTCGTCCTTTCTCCCAACTTGGAGAATGGCTGTTTTATCATCTTTCCTAATAGACATCCTTCGCAATTTTCAAACGACTCTAAGTCGAATGAGTAAAGAAAACCTTCTTGAAGAAGCTTCTTGATGCGTTTGATGTTAATATGGCCAAGACGACAATGCCACAAGTAGGTTTGATTCGACTCGATGGTCTTAGTTCATTTGGTATCAATCCTATTGTCTTTGTGTAAAGCATGCAATTTAATTTGAACATATGTTTGCAAGACAATTTTGAAACAACTATAACTAGGCGTCCAACACCATGGATCAAAATATTGTTCAAAAGCATGACAAAACTAGGATTAGTTTTAATTACATCTCAAAGACAAAATAGTGCATGCAAGTACGACCGAAAAACCATCTTCGTCATCTTCTTGCTCTTGCACCAACACTTGATAAGCTTCTCACTTGGTCCTTGAAAAGGCAACATAAAGTGAGTCATACTTGGTATCCAATACCTATGATAAGCTTAATTCACAAGTGTTTAGGAAGATACCTGAGGTGGATGCTCCATTCCTCTCTTCCGCTTCTCGAAAGAGCTTGCATTCTCTCTTGAAGTGGCCTTGCCTACCGTAATAGAAGCAATGCATCTTTACCTTAACCTTGAAATCCCTCCTTCTTGACGGTCTTTTGGTTGCCCCAAATGAGTTGGCTCGGTGAAGTAGCTGCACCACATTCTTCAAAGAATGTCTCCTTCGATTCAGAAATATATGCCCTTATTGCATCATATCCTGAGTGGAGTGAAGTGAGCATAATAAGATCAACCATTCCATCTTCTAGTGGA